TCCTCCCCCCATTGCCTGGAACATGCTGTGTATGACTCTGGTTATGGGTCTAGAGACAAAAATAGTGATTGAGGTGGATCTTAAGGAAAATAAGCATCTCTTTGCATGCTAACTTTCCCAGGTGAGGCTACTACATGGTTTTCAAACAAAGCCAGGCTGATTTCCTCTGACGTGGGAGGGTGGACTGCTTCCACCAGAAAGGAAATTTGAGATTCTCAGGTTTATTGATCCAAGTGTAACTTGATCTCCTCATTCCCAGTTTTAAGGTCCTACTCTTTTCCCATCATTGCTCTAAATTTCATTTGACGAAACATCATGATTCTGTGACTACATCTTATATAGGAATTCTCTTATGTCCACAATTAACTTTTAGAGCTGACTTACCACTATAAAGAAATGAATCTTTCAGGGCCACCATAGATCTCTGGTTTTCAGACTGTCATGAGTCGAAAATGTAAAATCTCAAGTTGTCATCAGTTCTCCTTATGCAGTTAGAAATAATTACACCACTCACCATCCTTTTAGTCATTACTAATGCATTAAAAGTCAAGAGCAGTAGCCACTTGATCTGCAAATACATAAGGGAAATTATTTCAGTAAAGGTGGCCTCTCAAGCAGGGGTATAAGATGGATTACCAAATCAATATTATTGAAACAAGTGGATACCCATCTTGATTCCATAAATCAAGTTGGATCCACAGTTGACCATATAGCCATGTATATATTGCCAAATTACTTTTAAAACATTTTTATTGTGAAAAAAAAGCAAACCATGAAAGTAACAGAAAATATCAGAAAATTTCAATGGAGAAATTTTCTAACAATAACTCAAAATCCAGAACTCATAAACACTGATAAATATAACTATATGAAATTTGAAAACTTCTGCTTGCATTTTATAAAATACAAGAAAAAACTAAAGACAAATGACAAAGTGGGGAAATACTGTCGATACAAATATGCTAATTTCTCTAATATATAAACACCACAGAAATTTATAAAAAGGTAGAAAAATGAGCAAAAATATAAACAGTCTACCAAAAAAAAATTCAAATAGCTTTTAAATATATGAAATGATACTTGAATCCTAACTCACCCAATGGGCGGGATTCTTCATCTGCAGTCCTGATACTCAGTGTCTGTTGTCACCAATATTCTTAAAACGCATGTGCAAATGATGTTGGATGTTTGCTTGAGATCATCACCTCAAGTCCTTTCCCTCTGACAGAGCAGCTTCTCCAGTCAGAGCAAAGCCTAGTAACCTCCAGCATACATGTTAAGTTGGTGAACTATTAAAGTCAGTACAGGAGAACATTAATATAGCTTGGTTTATTGTTTTCTGGATTTAGATGGTATGTGTTTTAAATCGTGAAAAGTCTACAAATAAAAAAAGTATACAAATAGTAAAAATGTGATTCAATATGTTTTGTCTTATCCATTATCATAAAAGCATTATAAGGGATTATTATAAGGAAGATTGCACTCAGATTCTAATGTAAGCTACATACAAATATAGATTCTGAGGTCAAATTCTGAGTAATAACAGAAACAACCTGAATATCTTCAGTGCTCAGACTTCCTTATCATAGGCTGAAAGAACTGGAAAGTCAAGTAACTGTCTTTATAAGAAAGTTGAAAACCACTGCTTCCTTACCTGAGTTATCCTAATTAATGAAGTGAATACATTGCTACAAGGCTGAAATTAGTCATGTTAACTGTCTACACTCTAAATACACAATTATTTTTCAGCTCCAAAGCATCCATTTGCACCAAATGAACCATAATTTGGGGGTACCTTCATCAGAGATGGTAATGCTGCCACATCTCCAAATTAAATAGGATCCATATTTTCCAAGTAATTAATTTTTTTTTGAAGTTCCTGGTCAAAAGCTTAAATTCAATGACTCCAAAATACACAGAGCATAAAATGAGGAAGATTTTGCAAATCCAAGAAATCAGATCCAATCCTATTTGCATCTTGGAGACTTTCAAGCATCACTGCATGTGAAAAGACATGACTGGCCAATCAATGAAGTCTTTAGGCAGTTCTCACTGGAGCAGAACTGGCAATCTCATTGACCTGGATCAAAGCCAACAAAGAGGACAGAAGAGACAACTGCAGCATGACCTAAGTGACAGACATATACACTCTTCTTCGCTGACATGCTAAGTACAATGGAGGTAATATATACCGTCTTGATCGCTGGTGAACTGACTATAGGAGTTTGGGGAAATGGATTTATTGTACTGACTAACTGTACTGGCTGGATCAAAAGGAGAGATATCTCCATGATTGACATCATCTTGGTGAGCTTAGCCATCTCCAGAATCTGTTTGTTGTGTGTGATATCTTTAGATGGCTTTCTTATATGCATCTCTCCAGATACCTATGCCAGTGGCAAGTTAATGAGCATTGTGGATGCTTTCTGGACATTTAGCAATCATTCAAGTGTCTGGTTTACTTCTTGCCTCAGCATCTTCTATTTACTGAAGATAGCCAATATATCCCATCCGCTTTTCCTCTGGCTGAAACTAAATATTAACAGAGTGATTCTGGGGATTTTTCTGATGTCCTTCCTTAGCTGTATCATCACTAGTGTTTCAATGAATGAGGACTTCTGGGATCTCTTCAAAGTCAATCATAAGGAAAACATAACTTGGGAACTGAAAGAGAGTAAAATCCCAGGTGCTTTCAGACCGCTTATCCTGAACCTGGGAGTTATCATTCCCTTTGTTCTTTGCCTAACCTCATTTCTCTTTTTACTTTTCTCCCTATTTAGGCACACCAAGCAGATGAAACTTTATGCCACAGGGTCCAGAGACCCCAGCACAGAGGCCCACATGAGGGCCATAAAGGCAGTGATCATCTTTCTGCTTCTCTTCCTTATGTACTATGCGGTCTTTCTTATAGTAACCTCCAGCTTACTGATTCCTCAGGGAGAATTAGTGGTGATGTTTGGTGGCATGATAGCTGTCATTTTCCCATCGAGCCATTCATTCATCCTGATAATGGGGAACAGCAAACTAAGGGAGGCTTTTCTGAAAGTGCTAAGTGTTGTGAAGAGTTTCCACAAAGGAAGGAAACCTTTTGTTCCGCAGAGAATCCTGAATACAAGGAGAAAGAAATCAACAAAAGATCCTCTCCCTTCTCCCAATGAATTATATTCAGTTTTTATAGATGCTGTTAGAAATCATTAATATCTATATCTATGATTATCCTAAATTTTCCTTTGTGTCCCTTCACATTTCTGTCTTGTTTAACTTTAAATCAATGTTATTGAGCCGCATATATTTCCTTGCCTTTGCAGGAAAAAATGAATCCAAACCCCATGCTAACATTTCATATCATTGCCTAAATGCAAAGAGATTCTACTTCTTTCTGTCATATCTGGTAAAGGCCTTGAACTCAAAGAGTAGAAGAATTTTAGGCAAATAGGGTGCGGGGAAGAGATTTTAAAATATATTAGTCCTTCCTATAAAATCAATCATGTAAAACCTGTCTACTTTGTGCTAGAAGTCAGTACTTATCTTTTCTGCCCTGTCTTCTCCATTTCTAAAATGGTTCATCCTAATATGGAGGGAGAAAGGACACTCTGGTGAGATCCTCTGTAGGGTGAAATACAATGTAAAAAAAGGGGGGTAATCTCAAGAAAAGTTTGACCAGGAAAGGGGACAAGGGGTGTACACTTAGAAATATGCATATCGAAACCACTCTAGCCAGTTTTAGGAGTCAATTCTCAAAGATTCTTTGGAATGTTTTCTTTCTTTTCTTTTTTTTTTTTAACTCAAGAATCTTTGACATGTCTTTTTTTTCTTTAGCATCATTCTCTCTTCTTTTCTGTTTCTTGTAACATTTTAAAGACAACTAGGTTTCCTTAAATTATTAATTTCGTGCTTTCTTATTACACAATATGCATGCATAAGAGATAAGAAAAATAGTTCATATGTTTCTTACATTATAGAAATACTTAAATACAGTTAGAAGAACCTTAGTTTATGTGATTTGTATGACTTAGATTTAAACTTATTGTGGGTTGGGTCTCCCAAGAAAGAATAAATCAATTTAATAGTAGAATTAGTCCTATTCCCTCGAAATATAATTCAGTAAATATTTTCTTAAAAGTGATTGCTCCATCTAGAGAAATAACTACTACGTAGAATGTGAGATTATAAATCTTACAAAAGGGTTTGATTGTAAATAGAATAATTTAAAATGTTTTCTAATTTTATATGAAAATGTTCCTTATCCAAGAGGTGACATTTCAGGAAGTGAATTGTCACAGACAGCATTTCCCATAATAAATAAAACTAAACATAGCAAATCTTTATCTAGCATCGTTCACTTTTATTAAAAAAAAGTCCATTGAGAAAAAAATGTTTAGTAAATATTGCCATGTGCCTGTCTAATAACAGTCATTTATAATTAGAACTGTATCACAGCTTTCGTTAATTAACCACTTATATGAAAACAAAGTTACTATCCTCTGACCGGAAGTTAACTTTCTACAACTGACTGTGCTGATCATTTCCAAAATCAAAATTCATTTCCACTAGGAAACGTGACTTTTGATTAATTTATGAATATGGTGAAGAAAATGTACTTTCATTTACACATTGTGATTTTTATGGAATACATGTTTTTGTTTGCTTTCTGTGGCTCTGTATTCAAAATTCAACTTGACAGGTCAAAGTACACAGAACTTAAAAGCAAGAACCTTGTTGCAAATCCCTGAAATATAATCTCTTTTAATTTGTATGAGAGCAGTTTCAACCCAGCATTTCCCTTATCACTCACTAAACGGTGATGGCTATAATTTGCTTGAGCTCAAAGCTAGTCAAACTGTTTGGAGCAACCATTTGGTTTAGTCCTCATGAATGGAGAAGCAATTCTATTTCAAAAGAAAGCTGCTTACTTCTGGAATTATATCAAAATCAAAATAATGGATGAGATGATGCCTGTCTGCAGTGATACTGGAGATCGGGGTGTTCTCCCTACCAACATGCTCAGTATGAAAGACAACATCTTTATGATCATTATAACTGGAGAATTCATAATAGGAATGCTGGGGAATGTATACATTGGACTAGTAAACTGTATTGACTGGATTAAGAAGAAAAAGATCTCCTCAGTTGACTATATCCTCACTAGTCTAGCCATCTCCAGAATCTGTTTGCTCTGTATATTGATACTCAATGTCATCATAATGGTATGATACCCAGATTTTTATGAAAATGATAAACTACAGGCATTCATTAGTATCTTCTGGACACTCACCAACTACTTAAGCACGTGGTTTGCCACCTGACTCAACGTCTTCTATTTGCTCAAGATAGCCAATTTCTCCCATTTGCTTTTTCTCTGGCTAAAGCGAAGAATAGACAGAGTGATTCACTGGATTCTGCTGGGTTGTTTGGCCATTTCGTCTTTGATCAGCCTTATACTAGCAATGACACCAAATTATGATCATGAGTTTCATAAAATTGTAAATCCTAAAAGAAACTGCACTGAAATGTTCAATGTGAGTAAAAGTCAGTACTTCTATTCATTGATTCTCTTTAACCTGTTGGCAGTTGTCCCATGTACTGTGTCATTGATCTCATTTTTCCTTTTAGTTATGTCCCTATGGAGACATATCAAGCAAATGAAACTCAGCGTTACAGGCTGCGGAGACCCTAGCACAGAGGCCCATGTGGGAGCCATGAAAACTATGACTTCATTTCTCTTCCTCCTTTTTGTATATTATGGGGCTTCTCTTTTGGCGACTTTTAGCTACCTTATGAAAGAAAGCAAGTTAGTTGTGATGTTAGGAGAAATGATAGCAATTCTCTATCCTTCTGGTCATTCACTTATTTTAATTATTAGAAATAACAAGCTGAGGCAGGCATCTATCAGGATGCTGAGATATGGGAGAACATTCTGCATGATGTAAAATCTTAGCTTTATAAATGGGTTTTGCTAATAAAAATACATTTTCATTTTTTCCAGTTATCTTGTTTATTTTGGGTACACATCTTTAAGTGTTTTTGAGACCTGTTAGCACAAGAATATATATATATCCCTTTGTCTGTGTACACTTCAGATTCTCATCTTCAGACGCCCTTTCCTCCAAGAGTTTGAGAGCTCACACTTCCCTTATTGCCTTCTTACTGCCGATATTAGGCATGTACTGCCTAGTTAAGTTCCTTTAAGAATTTACATAGGCCCATGATAAAGAGCACTGAATTGCACTAATTGCTTTTTCTTTTTTTTCCTATCATATACTTTTTTCATTGCTGGCCCTTGATTTTGCTCCCTTCATGGCTCTGTCAGGTCACTCCCCTTTGGCTTATTTTTTTTTTTTTTAATTTCTTTTCAGCATAACAGAATTCATTGTTTTTGCACCACACCCAGTGATCCATGCAATATGTACCCTCCTTAATACCCACCACCTGGCTCCCCTAACCTCCCACCCCCCGCCCCTTCAAAATCCTCAGATTGTTTTTCAGAGTCCATAGTCTCTCATGGTTCACCTCCCCTTCCAATTTCCCTCAACTCCCTTCTCCTCTCTAACTCTCTATGTCCTCCATGTTATTTGTTATGCTCCACAAATAAGTGAAACCATATGATACTTGACTCTCTCTGCTTGACTTATTTCACTCAGCATAATCTCTTCCAATCCCATCCATGTTGATACAAAAGTTGGGTATTCATCCTTTCTGATGGAGGCATAATACTCCATAGTGTATGTGGACCACATCTTCCTTATCCATTCGTCCGTTGAAGGGCATCTTGGTTCTTTCCACAGTTTGGCGACCGTGGCCATTGCTGCTATAAACATTGGGGTACAGATGGCCCTTCTTTTCACCACATCTGTATCTTTGGGGTAAATACCCAGTAGTGCAATTGCAGGGTCATAGGGAAGCTCTATTTTTAATTTCTTGAGGAATCTCCACACTGTTCTCCAAAGTGGCTGCACCAACTTGCATTCCCACCAACAGTGGAAGAGGGTTCCCCTTTCTCCACCTCCCCTCCAACACACGTTGTTTCCTGTCTTGCTAATTTTGGCCATTCTAACTGGTGTAAGGTGGTATCTCAATGTGGTTTTAATTTGAATCTCCCTGATGGCTAGTGATGATGAACATTTCTTCATGTGTCTGTTAGCCATTTGTATGTCTTCATTGGAGAAGTGTCTGTTCATGTCTTCTGCCCATTTTTTGAAATGATTATCTGTTTTGTGTGTGTTGAGTTTGCAGATCTCCCCTGTTTCATCTCGTTCAGTGTCCCGGTTATGTATCTGTCTCCTCCCAAGTGAGTGATGCTTTAGGTGGTCTCGTAGGTAGTATTTTCTGGTTGACCTTATTCTGGCACCTCCTATTGATTTTCCTTGAAATTAAATGTCCTTACAAACAACTTGCTGCTCAGGCAGCAATAGGATGGGAATAGGTTCCATCCCAGTATCTCTCTTTATGGCCAATCCTAAGTGCTCTTCACAATCTGGATAAAAGAATGGGACAGTTGGGGCACCTGGGTGGCTCGGTGGGTTAAAGCCTCTGCTTTCGGCTCAGGTCATGATCCCAGGGTTCTGGGATTGAGCCCCGCATCGGGCTCTCTGCTCAGTGGGGAGCCTGCTTTCCTTCCTCTCTCTCTGCCTGCCTCTCTGCCTACTTGTGATCTCTGTCAAGTAAAAAAAAAAAAAGATTGGACAATTAATTTTGATCAGACTGCTTTACTCAGCCTCCTTTCTTAATAAGACCTGCAGGGGTTCTTTTCACTCAGGACATTAGAAAAGCAATTAATTGGGAAGAAATTAACATACATTATGGAATAACTACATGCTATCACTAAAAGAGTAATGTATGGGGGCGCCTGGGTGGCTCAGTGGGTTAAGCCGCTGCCTTTGGCTCAGGTCATGATCTCAGGGTCCTGGGATCGGGTCCTGGGATCGAGTGCCGCATTGGGCTCTTTGCTCAGCAGGGAGCCTGCTTCCCTCTCTCCCTCTCCGCCTGCCTCTTTGTCTACTTGTGATCTCTCTCTGTCAAATAAATAAATAAAATCTTTAAAAAAAAAAGAGTAATGTATGCCATAACACATACAGAGTAAATTACAAAAAAAGATAAATAAAAGTCACTACTAAAATGTTGTTCTACAGTGAACTACTCACTAGAGTAGTGTTGAAACACTTGATCTGGCATGTCTAAGTTCATGTCTATCTGATAATGGCTATGCATTTCAGGTACCACCCTTTGCTATTTCAAATTCTGGACTGTTTCAATCTACTCATTTTGTTTTGTTATAACTAAAATATTAACTACCTGAAGGTTATCAATTTGTCTGCATATGATGATGTGAAATTCACTGTGGAAAGTCCTGAAATTTACAGTCTTAAGTACATAAACTTCATCAACCATATTTCTAATATCCTAGCATTTAAGTTGCTACTTATTGTACAAGACAGGAGAATTGATATTCTTCTAATGGAATATATTAGTATATTCTACACAATACCTATTAATCCTACACTGGAATGAACTTTACATTCTTCTGCAAGTTTAAATGAAAGAAATGTTTTGTAAGATTAGTACTTTTGGGAAGGTTTCCCTCCATTAGTGTGAAGTCCTTCCTTCCATGTTTAGTTTTCTGTATCTTCAAGGTTTGAAGCACCTCCACTGACCACCAAAGTTCAAAGTAGTTCAAGTGGCCGACCTCGTCGCGCAACGGTAGCGCGTCTGACTCCAAAGTAGTTCAAGTAGTAAGGGTTCAAAGCAGTAAGTTCAAAGTAGTAAGGTGACAAAACATTCTCTTGCAAATTTTTTTTTGTTTTCTTTTCTACTTTTATTTTTATTGCAGTAGGGTATTTAATATGAGATCTGCACTTTCAACAGATTTTTAAGTGTACAATATAATGGTGTTAACTATAGGCACAATATTGTAAACCATATCTCTAAAATAAATTTATCTTGTGTAACTGAAACTTGATACTCGTTGAATAATAACTCTGCATTCTTATCTCCCCTTGGGCCCTGGCAACCACTATTTTATTCTTTGCTTTGATGACTTGACTATCCTAGATACCTATATAAGTGGAATTGGGCAATATTTATCCTTCTGTAACTAGCTTATTTAACTTATTTAACATAATGTCCTCCAAGTCCACCCAGGTTTTTGCATATTTCAGAATTTTCTTCTTTCTAAGACTGAATGATATTCCATTGTCTGTATATAACACATTTTCTTTATTCATTCATATGCCAGTGAGCAATTAGGCTCTTTCTACATTTAGTTGTTGTGCAGGACACTGCAATAAACAGGGCTAATATCACTTTGAGATCTTGATTTTGATTCTTTCAGATAAATAACCAGATGTGGGGATGCTAGATCATGTGGTAGTTGTATTTTTAATCTTTTGAGGAACTTTCATCCTGTTTCCACAGTAGCTGCACCATAATTTATATGCTATACAACACAAGTATGCAGAAAATCTATACTTACCTGAAAAAAACAAAAACAAAAACAAAAACATATCCTAAAATTTATTTGAGTGAAGGTATTATCATAGTTACAGAGACCTTTTATTTACCAGGGTACTAAGGAGAAGAAAATGATATGCCTGGGTCAGGGATCATTTCTAAGATCAGAGGAAAGCAGTCATCTGTGAACCTAGCTACATAATGAGACAGTTTGTTCAAAAATCAGGGCTGCATCTCAGGAATGAAGGTTTGTCCTTTAAGGAAGGATGGAAAGATACCATATAGCCAAAGAAAGTATCATCACCCCAGAATTATTCTATGGAAATTCTATATAGCAAAGTGTTTCTCAGTAACTCCAAATTAGAGAAGCTACTTCAAAATAGAAGTAGCTTGTAAGAATGAAGTAAACTTAATCATCTGTCTCTTCCCTTATAGTCTAGAAAGGCTAATGATCTAGATTCTCAGATGCAATTTGGCAAGGCAGAAGGTGTAGAGTAGATAAAAACAAAGGATTTTAATCTCTTCTCTCATACGTGCACTGCTTTTGAGAACATTTTAAATGAAAAGGGAAAATATAAAGATAATCAATACTCCATTAGGGCTCCTTCATCTTGTTATATATTACATCACAAACTAAATGACCATTAAATTGACTTGACTAAGAAGACAATGCATTACTTTAAAAGATCTTGTGCATGTAACTCTTCATCTGAACAACCAAGATAAATGAGCTAAAATATTTTTTAGACCCATATAATCTGTATTTAGTGTTAATCTTTAGATTCCCCGAAAATGTACAGTTCTCAACGCTAACCCAAACTTTGGATTTTTAGCAGTAATCAATATTATCATTTAGGAAAATGAAGATTCCTCTACAAATTTCGATTTGGGCCTGTTTTATAATAACCAGAAAATCCTGGAGTTTAGATTTGCCAGATAAAATACAGGACACCCAATTAAATTTGAATTTTAGTACTTCCTGGAAGTACTAATTTCATGCAATTTGGGACATACACTAAAAAAAAAAATCATTCATTTTATTTTATTTTATTTTAATTTATTTTTTCAGTGAAAGATCATTTATTGTTTTTTTGAAATTCAAGTTTAACTGGATGTCCTGTATTTTTATTTGCTAAATCTAGCAGCCCTATTGAAGTTACTAGTATGTATCCCAGATTAATGAATCCAAAATTTGCAAAACATAGCCTTGCAAAACACGGACAATGCAGGACCATGAAAAGGAATGGGTCTAATTTGCATCCTAAAATGTAGCTCAGCCTAAATTAACCATATGTGGAAAAGTAAGTCCTGCCGATCCCAGTTTTACATACAGGTGATACATGCAGTGGCCAGGCCAGGGATTGCCAACCACATTTGCTTCTCAAGACTAATTAGGATTTAATGATGATAGCTACAGTCTTCATTTTTCACTCCAGTCTCCACCACAAGGCAGACTACAATAAGAGAGGCAAAGGAAATTAGAGCAAAATCGAGAAGTAGGTGTACCTATCAA